TTTTTTTTTTTAATCACTTATCTTCGCGGCGCTTTTGACTGTCAGAGCACTCGGAACACGTCTGTACGCTACGAAACTCAGTAGAGCACTCCGGAACACGTCTGTACGCTACGAAACTCAGTAGAGCACTGACTCAGGAATAGAGTGAACACTGATTCTCACTTATCATTCGATCCACGTGAAGTAACAAAAATAACAGGTTATGGGCCCAGGATCGTATCATTGATAAGTGTAAAAAGTATAGAAGTGAAAAGTGTTATTTAAAAGTGATCCTTTGGACTGACGCCGCTATCAAGACAAAGAAACAAGTTTCATCATGGCCACTTGGAAGCCCTTCGCGAATATTGATAGGCTCAAAGGACGCGAAAATTATAGAGAATGGTGCTTCGATATTCAAAATATTCTAGTGATTGAAACTGTGTGGTCAGCAGTCGAAGGATATCCTGCAGAAGACTCAACGCCTATATCCATCAAGAAACAAAAGGACGAGAAAGCAAGAGCCATCATTTGTCTGACATTAGAGCCCCAAGTTAAATCTTACGTCGTCCAGACAACAACAGCAAAGGAAGCCTGGGACGCGTTGGAAAGAACATTCAAAGATCAGGGAGTCAATAGTTGGATAAGTATTCTAACTGATTTGTGCTCTTTGAAACTTGAGGACTATAAAAGCATGCAGGAATATGTTAATGCCTTCATGTCAATAAATCTCAGACTAGTCTCAATGGACAAAAAAATAGATGATGAGCTATTAGCAGCATTAATGTTAAAGGGTTTAACTAAAGAGTATTATCCCATGCGTATGGCGCTTGAAAACTCCAACATAACATTCACAAGCCCCTGAAAATCAGAAGCATAAAATTATTTGGGCTGCTGTCGGAACCAGGTGGTGACTTCCCTTTCTACAGCTTTAGCGTCGGGAAAATGTTCAGCCGAAAGATGATGTTTAAGAGGGCCGAACAAATGGAAGTCGCTTGGAGCATTATGCATTATGAGGTAGACTATGCCGTGTCAAAAACCAATACCAGTGGCTTCAGTGTCTATAGCGTCTATAGTTACCCTTCTGTCTGCTCGGATTGTCTTCAACCCGTTGCACATTCGCTCTGTGACAATCTCCGTTGGCCGGCCGACGCGGTGTTCGTTTTCGATACGTGTCCGCCCTTCAGAGAACTTCTGCACCGAATTGCAAACAGCTTGACGTGACAGGTACTTTTCACCGTAGATGGGAAACATCTCTTTATGAATATTCTTTGATTCCATACCTTTTGCTCACAAAATCTCGCACAACAGAGCGCTGCTGGAGGATTCTACCCAATTAAAAGCGCCGCCATCTTGCAACAGCTGTTTCGCTTTTGTAAACATCGGTTGTCTCGTGTCAAATGTCATCAATTGCCACCGGACTAATGCTGCCATCTAGTGGCGATAGCATCAAGTGCCTCATTCAAACATATAGTTCCCCACTTCATTTTTTAACTTTTTTTTTTCTTAATTCGCTAAGTGGGGGTTGGAGTCCAACTGGGTCCACTCGGCACGGCGGCCACTGATTGGCTTATTGTAGCCTGCCCGGGGTGATTATGATGATAGAGAATTTGGTGGAATGAAGATTGGCAGGGAAAACCAAAGTACCTGGTGAAAACCTGCCCCAGCACCACTTTGTCCAGCACAAATCCCACTTGACCAGACCCGGGATCTAACCCGGGACCCCGCGATGGGAAGCCAGCGACTAACCGCTTGAGCTATGGCACAGCCAAATTTCTAACTTACTTATTGACTCACCTATGTATATAGAGGTTTGAACAAAATAATGGAAACACTGCAGTTACTGTAAGCATTTCTTTATTTATAGGGTGCTGGACCATATTTCGCCTACAATAAGGCCACAGCCCTTCTTGGAATGGACTCATAAGTTTTAAACAGTCTCTAGTGGAATTTTATACCATTCTTCTTAAAGAACAGCTTTTTTTAGAGATGTTGGAGATGGAAAACTGTTCCTGACTCTAGTCTCCAAAATTGATCAGAGTGGTTCAATGAAGTTCAAATATGGCAATTGTGCTGACCAGGGAAGATGTTGAAGTTAATCTTCATGTTCTTCAAACCATGATTGAATAATTCCAGCTGTGTGAATGGGGGCATTGTCATTTTAAAAAACCACATTGTTGTTCAGACATAACATCTGGAAAATGGGATGCACCTGATTACCTAACCTGTCCATGTACTCCCTGGCAGTAATTTAATTTGTTTCTTCAGTTTGTTCTTGGTTATTACCATTTCATTGTATGCCACTGCACTATACTGTTACATCATGTTGTCAACATATGCACTGAAAAATACTGTTTCACATCCTGCATTGTTTCATCACACATAAATGCTGTATGCTGCCACCAGCTCGCAGTGAGACTTGACTGAATTGATTCATCTTTGCCTTGATACTAGGATCGTATACAAATTATATTTCTATAAAAGTTTTATACACACAAGAGGAAGCCAGACACTTGATGTTTCTTGAAGTGACAAGGAAAGAGTGTGTGGGAACATTGATGAGAGAGAGAGGAGTGTACATATTTGCATATAACCTGCCTCCCCCTTGAACTCAGTCTGCACAACAATATATTTTGTTGTAGAGAACCTCCCAATAAGGTTCATCAATCCTGGTAAAGTTTAGAGATATTGGGTTTTCGGACTTTATCCATCATCCTGGTTTTAAGATAACTAAGAAAAACACAACGTCCAGTGATTGAGGCAAGATCTTTCTAAGGGACCCAACAGAATAGGTGTTTTTCCTCACCTGAGGACGGAGACAGATCCACTTTCCGAAACGTCGTGTTTTTCTTAGTTATCTTAAAACCAGGACGATGGATAAAGTCCGAAAACCCAATATCTCTAAGTGTTCTACACCATCATCAGAATCCGATAGTAACTACTGGTAAAGTTTCTTTTGAGGTAGTTTTACCAGTTTGGCCATTTAAATATCCTTCTAAGGCCAGAGAGTTAAAGACAGAGAATTAGAAATTTACAACAGAAATCTAAATGCATGGCCTTTTTCATTATGTGTTATGTGTGCACCATTACTCACCCAAATTAAGTAAACCCATAATAAGTTCAACACATCCAGCTAGAAATGTCAGTAGTACAATGTATTCTATACCAAGGCCATTTGTGAACTCATATGTTAGCAATGACATCACTGCAGTTGGTCCAATTGAAACTTCCTTGATTGTTCCAAACACAACATACAAGTAACTTCCAAAAAATGCTGAATACAGTCCAAACTACAAAAACAACAAAACATAGTTACAACAGCAGCAGTAGCAGCAACAACAACAACAACGGTGTACAATAACAAACAGCAAGAATATTATTGTGCTAATGACAAAACAAAGGCATGTACTCGCTCGCTTGGAAACTGGGATTGTGGGTTCGAATCCCACTCAGGGCATGGATGTTTAGTTTGTGTGTGTGTTTTTCTGTGTTTGTGTACAGGTAGAGGCCTTGCGACAAGCTGATCACCCGCCCCAGGAGTCTTACCGAATGTGTAAGGTGTAGAAAAACCAAAGTAAAGTTCATGGAGGTAGGCCTAGGCCCACTGGGGCTGTAGTGCCAAGGAAAAAAAATTACAAAACAAAATAGGGACAAAATATGATAATAATAATAATAACAGTACATCTCTAAAAAATTGTATACTGTGATAACTTTCCTTTTCATGTTTTATATAAAAAATTCTTAATTATGGTTATGACTTACAACAGAGAAGCTTAAACTGGGCAACTTTAATTTCTTTTAGCATTATTATTAGCATCTGACTTTAGCAACATCATAGACAGAACTTCTCTAGAATGAAAACCACCTATCTCACTTCTGTGATAACAAATAATTTGTATTTATTCATACCTGAGGACTCAGGCCAGCTAATGATGCATAAGCAATACTCTGTGGCATCATTGTAAGCCCAACTGTTATTCCTGCAATGAAGTCTCCAATTCCATCTTGTTTGCTGTATTGTGGCAGCCAGTTCAAAATGTTTATGTGACGAAAAACTCTTTCCGTAATTCTTGTTGAAAGAATTTTATTTTTCATTTCCAGGTAAGTAATCACCTATAGGTTTCAATGAGGTAATTACAATAAAGAAAGTACTGACAGTTCATTATAAATTTACATCTGCTGATAATGGATTACAATTATGAACCAAGAGGTAATGCATTGCTTCAGAATGTAAAGGAGGAGTATTAATATACATTCAATGATCACATCGTAAATTCTACACTTGTGCTATTAATTCTTTCTAGTCAGTTATGAAAAAGTATTCAGTCTGGTATAATGGGTCAAAATCATTTAAGAATTTTAATGAAACTCATACATTTACATTGACATTTATAGTTTCAAATAAATTTTTAAATTCATCTATCAGTAGGTACAAGCTATATCTTCAATGAATTATGAGAACGTTTAGAGTTCATTTCTGAGTAAAAATATCTCACACACTGAGTAAATGTTATTCTCATGGTAATTCAATTACAGTAGATTTATTAAATACATCCAGAGCTTTCTGCAATATTTGAGGCTGTGATAAAAGGGCATGTGGTACTGACAAGGGACCCTGTTTCTGCCATTTTTTTTATTGCTAGTGGGGTGGGACTAAGTCCCTTGTACTGCAGCCACTTCTGGCCTATTGTACCAGCCTCAGATGATAGGTGAAGGTGATTGTGGAGCAATTGGTGGAATGAAGATTGGCAGGGGAAACTGAAGTACTCAGAGAAAACCTGCCCCAATGCCACTTTGTCCACCACAAATCCCACTTGACCAGACCCAGGATCGAACCCAAGCCGCCACGGTGGGAAGCCAGCAACTAAAAGCTTGAGCTATGGCGCAGCTTTTCTGCCCATAACAAATAATGTCAATCATTTTCATTTCATACTTGTCACCAGAAGTTAACTGATGGGAAATTTTGGTTTTAATATTAATTTCTTTGTTCAAAGTACTTGTTGCCAGATTAATTAAACAAAGTTTGTGTAATTTCTGTTCCATGTTCAGTATTATCATGTGAATGAGTGTGACTAGAGATGAGGTTGGATTGCTAACTGGATTTATTGGACACACCCTCGTAACTACAAATGATTATGCCAGTCTCACTGAGCTACACACTCCAAAGATCACTGTAATTTTAGCACACATAAAGTCTTTTCAGCCTTCACTAGCCACTGCTTGGTAGTGACTTACAACAGCAGACATTCCTCTTCCTTCAGATTCCCAAATTGTCGCCGGCTTCAGCTACCAGCTGTTCGCTTCTCACAACTGCAATTCTCAACTGACTCAATTTTAATAGTCAAGTCAAAGTCAAAGTTATGTTATGACCGACAGTTAGTCAGCCAGTCTCTCTTGGTGTTGAGCCACAATATGGGACCAAAACAGATTTTTATTATTGTTAGACAGTTGCAGGTTTGTTGATGTGGTTGCCTACTCTTAAAAAGAGGTCAGGTCTGTCATTTAGAATTGCTGCTGGCTCTCACCAGCACAGTCATTCTTGGGCATAAGTCCCCCAGGACTCATGACCATATTTTACCATCTCAGATTTGAGACTCCTCCAACCTGCAAGGCCTTATCCCTGTATTTATACCCTCCGAGAACAGAGAGCCCATTTATAGCCCCAGTCACTGGCTTCCTTTTTCATTGCCACTTACATCTCACAGAACTACAGTGGAGGTATTCAAACTTGCCTCCACACATGGCTGACTCAACTGAACTAACAGTCTTCCTTATATAGCCCCAGCATGGTCCGTACACAAAACGTCTCTTCCATTATTGCATGTTCATTCCTTGGCGGGGAAACAGCATATACACAGAGCTGTTCCATAACAACAGTTGCTGTACTGGCACCTGTTTACACAGCTGTTACTTGGCAATGCACCCTTGCTGCACCATTTAAGATCACTATGTGCCTGTGTTATCTGTCCAGTTAACTTGAATATTCTCTGTGTACAGTGTGCTTTAATATGATGGTTGAGACAAGGGCACTACATATTTATGTTCCACCGTTCTAAGCAAGACAAGAGTGATAACACTTTATGACTTAAACTTTATTATATATATCTCCTTCTTTAACACAAGAAAACTACATTTTGCTTGTAGAGTGTACAGGGTTAGTCTAAAAGAAATAGACAGTTTAAATGGCTCATGTTCATCACTCGTGCAGCCCAAAAAAGTCGACAACATGTGCAAGTTTAGAACTTCAAGTTCCACAAAAGACTGTTCGGAATATCTTGCATAAACGTTTATGAATGTTCCCTTACTGATTTCAATTATTGCCGAACTTCACTAAAAATGACAAAATCCTCTGTCACTCATTTTGTATGGACATGTAGCAATGAAATGAAGGAAGTAATGATTTATTTAACCAGTTAGTTTTCGGTGACAAATCAACGTTCCACATTAGTGGTACAGTGAACAAATACAACGTCTGTATATGGGGAACTGAAAACCCGAGAGCTGTAGTAGAGAATGTGAGGGATTCACCTAAAGTGAACGTTTTTTTTTGTGCTGTATCCCGTAAAAAGGTGTACCCATATACACTTCAGGGAGTACTTTTCAAACCATAAGTATCTCGGCCATGCTATTAAAACTCTTATTTCTGTAAAACTTTGAAAGTGTCTATTTCTTTTAGGCTAACCTGTACCTATGTGGTTCTTATGATCTAAAAATAAATAGCAATTATGGGGGTCATACTGAAAGTCATGGGTAACAATTTTTTGTAAAGTAACATGCTTTATTATTGACAAACCAAATACAAAACCTGAATCTACAGACCTTTCTTTATTTTTCCACATAATCGCCACTTCTTTGTACACATTTCTCCCAGCGTTCTGGGAGTTTGAAAATTCCTATTCTGTAAAATTCCGTTCCAGACATCGAAGACACTGACACACTGCTTTCTGAATTGCCTCCCTTGTCTCAAAACGTTGTCCACGCAGCTGATCCTTCACAAATCCGAAAAGATGATAGTCGAAGAGTGCCAGATCAGGGCTATAGGAGGGGTTGTGGAAGAACTTCACACACCATCTTTGCAATTGCTTCCAATGTGAGGTGAGGGGGGTGGGGGCGAGAGTTGTCATGCAGGATGATGATGTTTCATCCCGGACGTTTATTGCGCAATGCACAAAGGAGCTTGTGCAGCGTCTGAACGTAATGAGCAGCATTGATGGTTTGCCCAGGTTCCAGGAATTCGGCCAGAATAAACCCCTCTGCATCCAAGAAGACTGTGCCCTTCACCTTTGCAGCTGATGGCACTGTCTTTGCCTTCTTTTTTGATGGAGAATGCAAATGGTGTCATTCCATACTCTGCCGTTTCGTTTCAGGCTCAAAATGGTGAAACCAACTTTCGTCACCTGTCACAATACAGAGCAAGAAATCATCGCCTTCATGTCGATATCTCTGCAGCAGTTCTGAGGTGATGGCTTTTCGCTGACCTTTGTGGTCTTCGGTCAATAACCGCTGGACCCAATGAGCACAAAATTTCTTACAGCCCAAGCTTTCAATCATCTCCTGTACTGCACTGTGCCCTAATCCAAGTTTTCAGGCTATTGTGTCCACAGTCACATGCCTGTCATCTTCAATTATATCATTCAGTCTTTCCTTGTTGCGTTCAGTTGAGTCTGTTTGAGGACGACCGCTCTGAGGCTCATCTTCGATGCTGGTGTTCTCATCTTTAAAATGTTTCACCCATCTTCGAACACTGCTCGCACCCATGCACACAATTCCATAAGCACGCTGAAGTCTCTGGTGAATTTCTGCAGCAGGGATTTCCTCCTTCACAAGAAATTTGATGACAGCATGCTGGCAAAATGACATATCCTTGTTGGCCATTTTGTTAGGAGTGATACTGGTCACACGATGCAAGCTATTGATGTGACAAGACACTCAAGGTTAACACGACAGTTGGTTCCACTTACCATCGTACTCTCTTTCGTCTGCTGCTCCCAGGTTGCATGCAAAAAAAGTTGCTCATGACTTTTGGTACGACCTACGTATTTCCCTAAACAATATTAACTGACTTGTCTTGCCAATGGGGAAGAAATGTGTTTCCAATTAGTAGAAACTCACTTTTTAGGAATTATTTACATGAATTTCATGCCTCAGAGTGTAAAAATAGAATTATTTTCTAGTTCATGGTCCAACAAAGGACATAAAAAAGAGCTCTTTATATGTCTGAATCATAATTTCCAATATATGAGTGAGGTTAGTAAATTATTATTTCACTTTCCACCCCACTATAAATATGTAACCCATATGTACAAGAAATTATTATAAATATGAGTTGCTGTAATGGGATCCATGATTTATAAGGCTGCTTAAAATATTTTATTTGATTTATTATATGGGAATTCTTTATAACCTACATAAATTCACTCTGGTTTATTTCATTCTGACTGGTGATTTTCTTCATTACATACAGGTCTTTAGAATGCGGGTGCATAAGACAAATCTTTCATAATTTTCCCCTATATCTCTGTGAAATACAATCAAACTTGAAAGCAAGTTCACATAACAACTTCTATAATGACACTAATTATCTTTTTGTATTTGGAAAAAAAATAAGTGGTTAAGAAGTAGTATAATAAGAGTACCAACTGAATACAGCTGTAAATAATTTCACATCAACTCATCATATAAGCCAATGAACTCAATAAATTAGTACACAACTATGCAGTGGCACATCTCACTATATCAACAATAGAATATGATTTACTGACTCTCTGAAAGTAATACACTTACTTTTCTACTATTCTTTCCTTCTCCTGAACCGAATTTATTCATATATCTCTTTCCTTCACTGAAGGCTCTACTCCATTACATGAAATCATGTAATTATTTGCATCATATTAGGTAACTATATTTGGTACAATATTTTATGACTCTCTGATTGACTAATCTTCTTATCATTATAATGCTTCTGCTAAGAGAATAAAACCCATTGTACACATACTACTATACTTGATTTCAGTTTCATAAAGTCAGCAACAGGATAGACAAGCTTTCTTTAATGCAGTCACTGGAATTTTATTTAAAAACTTATTCATGGTTTCAGAATTCATAAACTTGTGTACATCACAAGTAATTTTACTCTTTCACATCAGTATATTAAGGATTTCCATCTTCAGCTATAATGTACTTTCTAGACAGCAGACATAGAGATTACAAGTATGGCACCGCAATCTTGATTTAATTGGATTCAAAATCTTCTCCATAGAACTTAACAGTAACACACAAATGCATTATATTGTGGTATGTCCACAGAAAGCTGGAATAGTTTAATCAGAAAACACATCCACTGCTAGGTTACAGCACGGTAAACACATGATGTCACTTTTGAGCGAGCATTTGTTGCTATTCAATGATCAATAACCGCTGCATGACCACAGCAACAGTTACACACTCAACAATAGAGGAACTGCTGGAAGAAGAGTTATCTAGTCAGTTCTCACAGGATTGCCTGTGTCACTGCAACCAAGCAACTTCAAGAAATGGGAACCTGCCCCTCCAGGTTAGGGGAGTCTTGAATCTGAGACAGTAAAATGTGGTCATGAGTCCCACAGGACTTGGGCCTGAGAATGATTGCACTGGCAAGGGCCTGTCTGGAGAGTAAGGAGCCAACCTAAGGGGAGTTCATGGTGGTGCATGAGGAAGTCTCTAAGGAAGAGGTTGCAGTGAAAATTGTCAGATAATGAAGTGGCATGCGGACCTGGACCTAGCTGTAAGATGTCACAGTCTGGAATTGAAATGAACCCAGGGCAATGGTGGGTCCTGGAAGAAGTTGGTCGCCGCCTGCACGGGGATGAACTGCCGTGCCATTCCTGCACTGTGTAAGGGACAGTCATCAGGGACCAGGTGGCAAGAGGAGCCCTTAAAGATGGACATTCAAGAGGGGACAACGGACGCACCAAGGAAGTAGCAGTGGTATGAGGGACTGAGATGTTAAGGAGCAACTATGTCTGAGGAAGGAAAGGACAACCGGCAAAGGCATCATAGGATGGAGGAGACAGCACTTGGCAGAATTTTCAGGAAGACCGTAGAGCTGGATGTCACAAAGCAAATAGTCGGGACCTCCATTAGACTGCAAAAATGAGTGACTGGACATTGTGGGGTGTCGCCCCCCTCCTTTCAAAACAAAAGAAGAGACGGCACACATTCTAGGAGCTTTTTGAACTTTTGGCCGCACCAACTGGAAGATAATTGTGATAAACCTGGACCGGTTCGCACCTTATAAGGTAGCCACTCTAGAAAAGTGGTCTCAAGGGGGAGCAGCAGGAGAAGTTGGAGAGTAAACACCGCAAAAAACCGAACAAACAAGGAGGAAGGTGAAGCCGGTAAGAGATGTCACAAGCACAGCCCTTGGAAAAGAGAAATGGTGCTACACCTGTAGGCTGCTCGGGACGAATAGCCTTAAGGAGGGAGCCACGTGGCATATAGACCCATTGCTAAACGGTGACTCTTTCTATTCGGTCTGCACAAAGTGGTTATAAAGAAGATAATTGGGGCAACCAGTTCAGATGTCAGTTGAAAGCCAGCCTGTGAAGAGAAGGCTAGGAAGAAAACCTTAGAACTTACATAGAAGGCTAGGAGTTTGGTGTGAAATGATCATCACCCTGCGAGTTGTCATTTGAGAGTTGAAAGCCAGGTTGTAAAGAAAATAGTTAGTTGTATAAGTGTGGCTGTGTAAAGAACACTTTATGTGTACTGTAGTTACAGTGAGACTGTGTTAAAATCCATTGCCAAGATATGGCTAGTGAAGACTGAGAAGACTTAGCACATGGTAGTGATTTTTAAAGTGTGGAAATCAGCCATAGTGTAATTACTTGTAGTTCCAAGTGGTGTGTACAAGTGGTCAATAAATTCATTTGCCAATCCAAACCTTGTCTATAGGCACACAAACACATGACAATACCTTCACCAACGCTTGTTAGTCATGCGCAAATCTGTAGGTTTTTGCAAACAGTATATTGCACATTAATTCTTTGCTAGTGCAGAGCACTGTAAGCTGTGCATCCCAAATTTAAAGATCTTCAAGCAGCAAACACTGGTCACAGTATTTTCATTCCACAAATGAGGGAGATCCACAATTCTCTAAAGCTCAGATTATGTTCTTCTAGATTACAGAACTGTTTAGTTCTGTAAGCAAAGACCAATATTTCGGAGTGATATACTGCCTCCACCGTCAGGGTTAAATATTCTAGGGTGAGAAATTGGCTCAGTTATATAGGCAAGTTGCAAAGAAGGTTATCACTCAGACCCAGGTGAGGGAGTAAAGAAATGCAGTCCAAACTGGGCCAATATGATCAATGAATAAAACCATTTTTAGTGGCAAAATCCAGAAAATTATATTCTCTGCAGTCATTAATGTGATAACCCTAAAACTCATATTTTCCAAAAGTTTGTCATAGTGGTTGATTCGTTACACCACAATACATTATGCTCAATACTGTCCACTGTCTGAGGTATGCTGGAATTTAATAGTTGTGAAAATGCCTTTTCTTTATCTTGGTTTATAAGCTATACTAAAATAACACGATAGCCTATTTAGTATGAGTCTTACGAATATACATTCCCAGTGTCTAGTGCTACATTATTTCCCACCATGATTGCTTGATGTGCTAAATTGTTACCAAGCACTGAAACAGATGTGAATACAAATGGCTTCTGTATGCATTCTACAGCTGCAAATAAGTGGAGCAGCAACACAAAAAATCACTTATTGTCACATAACAACGAGATGGAAACACAGAAAATAGGATTATGGTGTATGACACGTGATACAGGGTGGGGTGCAGAAACTTCCTTTTTTTGAAGGCGAATAAAAGAAAAATTACTGCTGACAGACAAAATTTATGTTTAGCTAATGAAAGAACATACTTCAAAGCTTTAAATCATGTAGTTTTAAACAAAATATCTTGAAGGTGGTGGCCACCATTCTCTATGCACTGATGCAACTGTTTTCTGAAGTTCCTCTCTGCATGTTCCAACATGTCCACTGGAATTTTGGCTACTTCCTGCAGAATAACATTCTTCAGCTGAAGCAGGTTTGTGGGGCGATGTTTGAAAACCTCTGCCTTGAGGTATCCCCATAAAAAAAATCACAGGGCGTTAGATCAGGTGAGTGCGCTGCCCATGGGACGTCACCTCAAAGCAAGATGAGCTGTCCGGGGAACTTTGCCCTCAAAACAGTCATCGAAGCTCGGGCTGTGTGGGCCGTGGCACCATCCTGTTGGAACCAGACATTTCCTAGATGCATTTCTTCAAGAGTTGGTTCGAAAAAGTCTTTAATCATGTCCACATACCGCTGTGAATGGACAGTAATTGCATGATTGTCTTCTTCAAAAAAATAAGGGCCAATAACTCCAACTCTGAACAACACACACCATACTGTCACATTATCACTGTGAAGTGGCCTCTCATGGAGTTCTCTGGGATTGTTATCACTCCAATAGCGCATATTCTGCTTGTTGACATATCCGGATAGGTGAAAATGTGCCTCATCACTAAAGAAAACAAGTGTGTCAGGGGGTAAAGTTTCCAATAACGTTTCGCACACCGTTATTCGGTTCTGGAAATCATGTGGTGATAATTCTTGCATAACAACCATCTTATAGGGATGGAAATTAAGATGTTTGTGAAGAATTCGGTGCATTGAATGAGTGGATATGTCTAGGGCAGCTGCATGTTTGCAAGCAGAGCATCTTGGAGATCTCAAAATCGACTGTCGAACTGCCTCCACATTTTCTGGTGTCGTAACGGGCTGTTGTTGTCCTGATGATTTTTTTACCACACTCCTGGTTGTCCTAAAGTTCTCTACCCACAAAACAATCGATTTCTGATCAGGAACCGGACCTCTGGGCTTAATTCCGAAGTGAGTACGGAACGCGCACTGCACCGCCACGTACAAAATGGGTGTTCGAAAAATAGGCTTCGACAGCAAATTCACGCTGCTCACTTGTCCACCTCATGTTTCCTACTAAGGGGTATTAGACAGAAGTTTCCGCCGACTGCTGTGTTTGCCGAGCCTATCCCCACTTTTCTGCGACCTCCCCTCCCTTCACAATAAGGAAGTTTCTGCGCCCCACCCTGTATTATCTCTCAGTAAAATGGTAACCATTCACCTGAAGACAGATGTACTACCAATTCATAAAACTTTGTGCACACTAACATTATGCTTCGTCCAAGAACTGACCACATCTGTAAAAAAATGGGTTATGAGTATTTTCATGTTCAGACAAATTTTCTGCACTGTTTAGCGCAATGAGCTGCATATGGGCAGTACAGGTTGATTATTTCATTTTGGAACCTTAATTTTAGCAATTTTAACCATTAATTTTTATTTTTTCTCTTGAAAAACTGCGTTTTTTGTGCTTTACTGGTTTTTTGAACTTCAACTTCTATACAGCTCTAGTGACATTTATATTTATTTTCACTTCATGGATCCAATCACCTCCCTGTAGGGCTGGATATAAAACATGTCACACATTACAAATTTATGATAACTACACATCATAAGTCCTTGGTCCAATAGACAGCACAACTTGTCTAGACTACACACATAGGCCATGGAAAAACCACTGTCAAATTCACACCTTGCCATTCACACATAATGGCGGCTAGATATTAACAGCCGTGTGCTATTAACTACTAGAGTTCTAACAAGGAGCCTGATTCTTGGCTACAATGAGGGCCCATGAAGCTACTGCTAAATTGCTGATCTTTTTCAATGAGTCTTGATGCCATAATCATTTAAATAGTTCCCAGATCATACTTTCTGACATTTAAATTAGGGCATAATGATTAATAAGAGTAATGATGGAAGAGGATAATGTTAAGTTCTTCAAAAAAGTGTATCCATATGGGTAAGAAACAAAAATAAGACTGTACTCTATAATGTAGTAAACAGAATTCCTAACAGTGTTGCATGTAGTTTATTTAAGACTACTTGAGGCCTATTTATAAAATGTAATTAACTGTTCATAATATATACATAAAAGTCTATTTATGGCCTCATGTACAGTGGAATTCATTATGCGCCAATGTGATTCAAAATCAGAATTCTAGGATTTCAGTTTCTCACAGCAGTGGTTCTGAAGAGTTATATCTTCTGGGATATAATGCTGTGTAGTTTGCTGCAAGTCAAACAACATTTCTGAGCCTGCCTGCTGCCTGCTTCATGTTGCTTTCCTGCTTGGTTTATTCTTTGACCGTGAAGATGAAGGAAACATGTTCCTCCAAAATGTTGGTTGACTTTCAATGGACTTCACAGTTTTATATCCCAGAACACAGGAATTTTCAAAGTCAGAATTGTGGAACAACTATTAATGAGAGCTTCCATTAACAAATTTTAAAAAAACCTGTCCAACATTATAAGCAGTCATCTTCATTCATAAGAGCGGTGACACTAGGTCACCAACAGATGGATAGACAAATCTGTGCAAGGACCTCCATATAAAACTTTACTGATATCAGTTCAATGGTCCTCAAAATTATGAGATGACATAGGAAAAAAGGTTACTTTGTTTAATTATCTCAAAATCTGTAAGAATTACTGAAGTGTTCTGGCAAGAAAATGTATTTTTATGTGAAACATTTTTTGCCCCAGTAAGTATTTGGAGAGTTACAATTGAGTTGCACTTGATATGCATGCACAAAGGCATGTAGATCTTCCTGAAAACTGTCTGTTACTTTTGCCCGATTTTAATCAAAATTGGAAATGACATTTTTAGTGAAAGTCTGTAAGTTAAAGAAAACATGCAACAGTTTAGGTATTGATATTAGGTCAAATAAGGACAGACATAACCATATGTGGCATTCGTTCCTACTTCATGAAGAATGCTTATGGCAATAAAGAAAGTTAAAATATAGCTCTAAGGTATGTAGAAGACCGAACTTCCCACTCAAGCCCTTTCACAGCTTCAACACAAGTGCACACCCTTATATCCATGTCAATGAATCTATTCCTTACATTGAATCTCAGTGAACATAGCCCTGATTCCCGATTCACTGAGGTAGAAATTTCTGTGTGATAAAATTTGTAATTCTCTTTCTTGCCAAGGTCATTAAGATAACTACAATTACATAGTTAAGTACTATATTTAGAAGCTTTATTTCTTATCGTGACATTGAGAAGAAGCAAACAATATCAAGTCACAGATTTTGTGATGTTTTCATCATAGGTATCCACTTTATTGTTTACACAGTCTTTACATTTCAGCTTCCAAAGCTATAACAGCTTTGCAGAAGTCACTTCTTGTGTTGATGATATATATCATACATCTGAATGACAAACTGATTATTTATGTGTCTACAGATATATATATATGAAAAAATGTCAACAAAATCAATTTATCTTATGATACAAGTACAAATGCAAAACAATATTGTGACAGCAAAAAACAAATAGTTAGTTATGCATTCCATTCAAAACTGGTAATATCAAGTGTCAGCCTCATACTCCAGCAAATTACTTCTTCTGCAACAGTAACAACATACTTTCCAGTATTGTAGTATGTTTTAAAATACAGATTAAGCATGGGGGGGGGGTACGCGGTAGCATAGTTGGTTGAAGCATTATGCTACAAGTTGGAAGGTTGCAGGTTCAAGTCCTGATGAGGTCACTGAATTTTTCAACTTACCTAATCCTTCCAGTCGCACTATGGCCCTGGGGTCAACTCAGCATCTAACAGAAATGAGTACAAGGAATTAATTAAATAATTTTCCTGGGGAGTAAAGCACGACTGGTACGCAAGGCTGACAACCTTACCGCCATCTTTGAGCCGATTGTCTAGATAATGTGGGACCCTCAACGTTTCACAACGCTATTGGCCTTTACAGTCCATTACAGGGATAGCTTCACTTTTACTTTTTACTTTTACAGATTAAGCATTACAAAATTACTGTATAAAAAGATAAGTATTTAATTTAAACTGCTGTGACATTTATGACTGTAGAACAGCCTCTAAATTTAAGACTTTACCAGACAAAAGAAGCATTTGCACGCATTCTTAATTATCAAATAGAATGTTTGTATATATTTCATGAAGGCCTTAATACATTTTAATAAATAGGCTGATAGCAACAGCCTAACCAACAGGATTTAAACATTATGTTGATACCAATCATATTACTACAGATCATTTATAAGTACACTAATTCTTTATTTTAAATTTTACACAACCTCATGAATGCACTAATTCACAGAACTTCTTCCACTCCTTCATGGAATACAATCATGTCCACAGTAGGATTCATACCAAGAATTAACTACAAATAGATCACACAACTGACATAAACTTGTAAACCTGAAATAAACCGCATTTCTTTCAGCTATATTTAATTTGATCCTTTCTCATTTCCTCAATGTGAAAAAAAGTTAGACTTAAGAAGGATATAATTCCATATTGTTTGAAGTTTAATCTACATATTATTACAATTTGCATGTATAAAGTACAAAGGATTATCCTGTTAACATAGATTATTATACAAATGCAAAACATAATTAACTTATAAATCCTTATACAGTATAAATATATGTACAAATCTGTTTGGATTCTTTGACCAAATCTTTTGCTATCATCGCTAAACTTTTTCATTCCAAAATCAGTCTTGGAAAGGAAAGGCAATAACAACTGATTTATATTAATTAATTGTTCCAATACAGCAGAGCATGACAAATTAACTAGTATATATGACTGACTTTTATTATTATGAAGTGTTGTGCTACATACATGTAGTATCCGTGTAACAAATGAATAATTTAAGACACTCTTTGAAATACTGTTGTCACCATAAAAAGATAAGGGTTCAGATGGGTTACTATTTATAAGAAATAGTTCTAATTCCAAGAAACATCCAAGTTTTGTTCTGTAATAAACTATAAGAGCTTAATTTTTATGCACTTTAAAAATTAAAATGTAGCTTACTCATGTAATACATTATACCATTTGTGCATTTACATGTGGTGAGTAGATATTAACCTTGTTCTGTGCAATAACATTTCCAGAATTCTAGATCTTAATAATTTTCTGGAATTTATGAAAGAAAATAGTTATAACAAAAGATACAAGTAAAATTTAAATTTTCATACAGAAGGTAACTAGTTTTTCATGCACTTCTACAATAATAAACATGATATACACATGAATTTTGAGGCATTCCGAAGAGCTTTTGCAATGAACATAACATGTATTATGTAACTGATATTCCATTTTAAAATCACCTACATTTTTAGCCTTTATTGTGAAACACAGAATACATATTTCTTTCAATGTTAGCCACAACTACAGAGTGTCTGAGAGAGGTGTGAGAAACAAGGAAATTGTGTATATTGAAAAACATTTATTATACAAAGGAAACAATCTCACCATTCTGCAGCTTAAAGTTCCAAGTTTTGTTTACATTGGTGTTAGTGGTCATGCATGTGCCATCCCTATCAATCACTTGTGGTCATGGTGATGGTTCAGTCAGAGTAAATTTCGGTTATTGCATGGAGGTTGAGCACCAAGTTACAACTCTGCTAAGAAGTGGGACAGACATCTGAGAGAAACTGGAAGCGTTGTAAATCAGAAATTACCAGAACATTCAATGACAACAAGGTGTACATCAGACAAGCATTTCTACGTACCTCATACATGTCAATCCTCACAGAAAGCAGGCAACTGCATCTTCCCCACCCCACAGTTCATGACATTGCACACAAACATTTACATTTACATGTGTACAATTTGCAGTTGCAGCAGCACATAAAACTAGACAATCATGACTCTTAGAAAGTAACACTGTGTGGGAATGCTGCACAAAATTAACAGTGATGAGGTTTTCATGAACTTGATGTGTTTTCTACTGAGGCAATATTCCATTTGAATGGTATTGTGACCACACATAACTGCAGAATCTGAGGTAGCCAGCCACTTCAAGGAATTACCGATCATCAGACAGATATGCCAAAGGTTAAAATGTGGTGTGGCAGGATAAAATACTGCATCATTTGACCTTCCTTCATTCAGGAAGCAACTGTGACAAGCTACACTACATAGTAACAGGGTGGGGCATCCTCACATTTTGGAAATATTGTCCATCACTTTTTAAATTACTGTTTTCAATACAAATGGATCAGAAGAAGTGGTTTGCTAGCATCACCTCCAAGATCACTGGATCTAATTTCACTGGACTTTTTCCTCTGGGGTTATGTGAAGAATATTATCTACCAGGAAAAAATTGCAGATCTTTAAAATCTGCAACATGACATGAGTGGTGACTGCAACAGTGGCTGAAGTTATGCTTATGAACACATGGTGAGACTGAATACTACTTTGGCATGTATTGAACAATTAATGGTGCTCATGTTGAAGCTTACTAGGTGACAAAAAGCAATTTCAGTTCTGTTCTACTAAACTGTGAGATGACTTCTTACATATAGTAATTATTTTTCCATACAGGAATTTATATTTTTTTACATCTTTCTTGGATACCTGTATATAAGGTACCAGTAATAACTGTTTTTTTTTTGTTTTTTGTTTATAATTAAAAATTAATATAGAATGCACAACTAGTGTTAGAACAAATGTGGAGGGGGAATAAAAGCATTAACCAGAATAAAATTCATAAGACATGAGAAAAGTAAAATGTGATCAGCTGTGAGATAAAATATTTTCCAGATTCTTCCTACACCTTCACCTAAGTGACCCTTTAATAGCAGTGAACAATCCAAGATGTTTGGGATATACTTTAATCTAATTAATGTTCTGATCTTTTAATTTCTTGTATACCTTTACAGTAAATTATAAAGTTTAACATATATATAGCTATATCATGCCCAACAAATTTTCTATATGATTTCCTTGTTTGTCCTATTGTTAGGCATGCAATGACCCTCCAATAGTTTGTTAAAATTGGACAATACCTACATCTCAGTAATGATGATAGATGAAGATCAGGGGATGAAGATTATAACTATCTCTACAAGGCACAGCCGACTCCTGACATAATTAATACATCTGGATAGTTTTATAAACCAGGTGGGGACCTAGCAGTTGATGAAGTGATGACTGGCTTCAAGGACAGATTTATTTCAAAACACTGTATACCTGATAAACTTACAAAGTAGGGTTTGAAATCATGGGGCATGGCCTACAACATGCAACATTACTTTTGTTGAATTAACTCTTGCTTGGCATATCACCAAGAGAGTGGGGTGGAAACACAAAACTCAAAAAAGTGATTATTATCAGATTCATGTATTGCACAAAGTAGAACAGGCTTACAAATAGCATAAAAAATGTAATATTCTTGTGTTAGGACTATATACAACATCAACAAAAAAAATCACAGGGAAAAGGGTGGTCAGATCAATGGGTGAGTAGTTATATTGTGTCAATTATACAGATTCTGTGGAAAGTAATAATTTATGATTTATTTTAAATTAAATTTTGCATGAGTTACATGCCACTTTTCCTTGGAAGAGCATGTCTTGTCTCACTACAACTTCAGAAATTTACATGCCCTTAAAATAAATTGCTCTCTCTGAAGCAAAACTTGGAAGTTGTTTTATGAGGGACAACAGATTAAAGAGCCCTTTGTTTTTTGGAAGACTTGAAGTCAGGCACAGTATTAGAGCTAACGTAGTCGTTTGGTGATCTGAGCAATTAGATCATCAACTCGAGCAGAAGTTCCTCGGAACTTAGCAGGTTCTGGGCCAATCATCTGTATAAGTTGTGGGACATCTTGCTGTGATATCTGACAGAAACGATTCAGAGCCTTCATGCATCGGAAAAGATGCTCTTCTGGTGGGTTGCTGTTGAAATACTGAAGGAGAGCCATTGTCAACTCCACGGCTACATCATCAAATACCTGTAAGGCAAAGACATCACACTTGTATGACTGGTGCAATATTTTCCACAGTGGAACATATTTGTACTCCACAAGTTGGAACTGAGACAAACTTACGTTCAATCTGAAAACATCTGTATTGACTTGACTCAAATAACTGCAGCACTATAAATCTGAATTATAAAAATATATTCAGAACAATCAGAATGGAAGAGATGAATGTCATAAGCAATATAGAGTTTATTAAGTTTCCATCAACCAAACTTGTGGAAATACAGCAAGTGCAGGTCCTATACAAAGTGATATTGAAATCTTCATAAATTCTCCAAGCCATCAAGTATTACTCTCACTAACCACCTGAAGTGAAAGCAAAGAAGCGTTATCCAAACAAAACATGAAAGTTCTTCATTGCTTTCATCTTCATCTATGTCTACAATTTTAGGACCACCAAATATTTTAATCACAGTACATTCTGTTTCAGCTAAAGCACAACAGATCACTGTGGTCACGGTGCAAAGGCCAAGAAGGCCCACCCCTTCAACATTCATACATTCTGTTTCAGCTAGTTCATTCATGAAATTGCAATTATCAAAGAGATGGCATTTTCATATCACATAACAGACAAGTGAAACACCAGGAAACGGTAATACTCTAAGCCAGTCATATTGATTCAGTATACTGGAAATATGTAAGTTGTTCTGAGCGCTCAGATAGCTTTTGTATCTCTGTTTCCTCAATGTGTGCTTCATTTTATTGTTAGTAAAAAAAATAAAGCATTTGTTTATCAGCTGAAAGGAAAAACGTGAAAATACAAAGCATAATATTTTACATGTGTGACTTTCTTATATATATATAAAAACTCTTACATTTTTAATAACTACATATGCACCTAAACTACTTCTCAGCATTTATTCTTTATAAGTCAATGACAAAGCTAAGTCAGACATATTTGTTTAGTCATAAAACACATGCACACAACTGCAATATTGTCATATGTTATATTCACTTTAACAATACAGTGTTAATGATTAAGTACTTATATGATTAAGGAAGTGCTAAAAGAATTTCACTTTCACATTATGCCATTGACTAAGAGAAGGAAAAGGAATAGGAAGAGAAATTTGTGCTAGTATTTTTAATCTGAATCAGGAATTATTACTTATAGTATTTAGTTTTCAAACATCAAATATTTTTCCTGCTACTGGTACCTTTGATATGCACCCAGCAGGCAAAAGTCTTCTAAGAGCTTTGTTTTGATTCATTTTCTGAAAAAATGCAATTGGAATACAGCTACAAAAACTTAATTTAATTTTATACTTTCTAAAGAGTTAATACCAAAATATATTTAAAGATTTATTCATATTAAAAGTAAGCTCTTAAATATTCATGAAAATAATGTCATGTATCCAAACCACAGCTAGTCAAGTGGAAACTGAAAAGTTCCAATATATGTATGGGATGTGCAAGTCTTGATATGCATGAGCAGGCTCCTGTCTACCTGTCAAGATGTTGCTCTATTCATTGCTGTCCTGAACTTTTCGAACCTACCATATACATAGAAATTCCTATTCTTACAGTACCAAATTTATATATCAAAAAGAAATACAAACTAATAGCAGACTGAACAATTTCATGGTATTTTAGCCCCATGCAATAAGTACTATGACAAATACAAAATATTTAGATAGTTGTTCAGTTACTTTCAGCTTAAAAGGTTTAACATTATCCCATTTACTCATATTACATATCATATATATTTAAGTGTGAATAAATGCCCTTGCACTTTCCCTTAATGTGGGGCAAGATATGAATTTCACATGCTCAAATGTACTTCAAATTAAACACACTGGTCGTTTCTCGCACAAGCTTTGTGTCTGCTTGAGACTCTGTTTTCTGGCTAGTTACAATCAGATTAAATTGTTACATATTATAGGTTCAAACATACAGTGTTAGTTGAAACTTATAACAAAATACTGACGTTTATAATTAAGTCATTGTGTCTTTAAATATGTATTTCTTATGCATAATTGAATACTATTTATTCTAACTGTTAATTGAATTCTGACCCCATATTCATAGACACCTGGGCCTAAAACCGGAAAGTCAACAATGTGAATACTATTTCTGGTAGAGCCTTGTGGGTACAAACTTTTTCTTAAACTGTCATTTGAGCTTCAAAGGGCACAGCAGCAACAACAATAATACTAGACAAGACAAGAAAATAAAAGAAAAAAGAGGTCACCAGTGTTTTAACCAACACCACTTTCTGGGATTATTTACTTTTCTAGGCACTGATATGTGTGCATTGTTTTAGATCTTGAATCTATCTTGAAGTGCCTTAAAAAAAAAAGGACACAACTGGTCAACTCATATTGTCAGTATGTTTATCAAAAGGGATTTGAATTCCTCCTGAACAATTCACTGCACAGAACTGAGATCTGGTATGATGACCATTCATTCTTTACTGCATTTTTTTCTAATGAAAGTTCTGAATTGTGTTCAGGGAACAAAAATTTGTAGAGATGGGAAATAGCACTATATCTTGAACAAGTTGCATAAGAAATCAATTTTTTTTGTAACCATTTGTACTTTAACTGAGACTACTTGGAAAACTTTTTACTATCTACATTATCTCCACGCATTCAGGAATTTATTAAAGCTGCTTATAAACTCTCCCTAAGACAAAAGATTATCTTCAGGCAAATGTACAAGGATATCAGAAATGGTTTGCCATTGCCAACATGATAACTGAGAAGAGTAGTAGGTTAGGCATTGCTTTTGAGCCAGGCACTACTAATGCCTCTCACTCTTTTATGAAGGGCAAACTTGATACTCGCATATAATACATGCAATTCACTCATGTTAAGGGAGGTGATTCACACACAGATGCAACTGGAAGGTATAGGGAACATTTCCAAAAACAAATTCTTACACAATACATATCTTAGATATTACTGTGATCAAAAAACATATGTAAGATTTGAAGAGAAACAGTGACTTTTAACGTGTGATGTGCAACAATATGTTTGTTGCTGAAACTCTTTCTACCATAACATAGCCATATGCAAGGCAAGACTGCTAATGTAATTAATCAGTATTATGGTTTTATGTAAAGTCAGAATAAAAAGAAATCTCTTATTGATCTACAGAACTTTGCAAACACCATGCTGGATGCTTCATTTTCATACAACTCTGCTAAAAAAAAACAATGGTTTAGATACACCAATATAATTTACTTCATTCTGCCACATAAACTTTGTGGATTGCCTTCAATTTAGTTTCTTTGTTAACATTTAGTTGTCCGGGCCAACATGGGACTCAAACCATCAACCTGAATGGTTTGTGTGTTTCATATGTATTTATAAAATCAGAAATCTCAGAACTAGTGGCCAATTGGCCTTAAAATTTATATTATTCATTTTAGAGAGTGATACTCTCCTATCCTGGCTATAGACATTTTGTATTACACATTACTCTTAATTAGTAATAAATACATTAATGATTACATAAAACATATTTTTATTAACAGTTTACACTGTACATGAGGGAACTTTGTCTAGCTGTTCAGAAGGGAAGTGAAAAGATATGACAAAAGTGAGGAACATTTATGCATATCAGCTGAGCTACAGGCAGGATTCAGAAATCTTATTTGAAGAAATACAAACATGATTTTATTTCAGATATTCCAAATTCAGAAATAAATGCTTATTACTCTGTTGTACCACTTTAAATCATCACATAATGACTATTATATACAGGTATTACAGTTATTTGGATTAAATAAAAGATAAATAAATAATGAAAAGAAATGATATTTTGCATACAGCAAAGGAATGACATGTAAGCAGATGGCAAGGGGTCAGGCCTGGTTGAGTGTGGAGCTGAAGTGTATATTGTGAGCACTGAAGTTGCAAAGGTACACAACTTACTTTCAAGCATAGTTTGACATTTTCCTGAATATTTTAAGTGTTTGATAGGGTAATAAATCTCTGAGGCAGACATGCCAGGCATTCTGCTGCTGTGTGATGATGTCATGCCCAGTTTCTAGATGTTGACAGTGCTGCGGGAATGTGAGTAGCAATGTGCATGCACAGGTGTGCATTTGTGTGTGGGGATACAGACCACAGTTTTTACCTCCTTGCAGGCAAGATTATGTATAATTGCAGATCCTCGCTCTTGAAGAACTGTATTATCAGAAAGAAGGGAATTGACAGCCACCTTAGTCGTGCACCGAATGTTACTGATGGTAGTGTTGCAGTACTGCCATTCTGATATATACAGTAGCCACTCTGAGCTGCTCAAGTTTTCGAACATATTACATATCTGTAATGTAATATATGAAATTAATTACTACAAAACCATGAGTAGCATTACATCTACAATATGACACAAGCTGCACCTAAATTAGCCTATAGAGAGAAGTACGGAAATTAAACTCAACACAGTATATAAAATATAAAGATGTTTTATGCTTAGTTTAGCTAGGGGTACGTGGTAGCATAGTTGGCTGGGGCACTATGCTACAAGTCAGAAGGTCGCAGGTTGAAGTCCTGATGAGATGGATTTTTTTTTCCAATTTACCTAATCCTTCCAGCCCACCAGATCCCTGGGGTCAACTCAGCCTCTAAAGGAAATGAGTACCAGGAATTTTCCTGGGGACGGGGGTAAATGGTGGCCAGCACGTAAAGTTGACAACCTAACCGCCATCTGCCATATGTGAACTGATTGCCTAGAAGATGTGGGAGTCTTGACATCTTACAAACCTATGGGCCTTCAAGGCCTGTTACATGGATAGCTTTAGCTTTTTACCTATGTTTAGCTAAGCACCACAACAAGATGTATAGGGGAGTGGAGATATAGCTCCATGCATTCTTAACCCCAGCACTAGATGGAGTTGACTGGTCAGCTTCATGCCCTGGTCAGTATTTTCAAGGGAAAGGCTTTCACAGGGGTGTGTGCCCCAGAGCCAGTCTGGAAGTTGTAGAAGAAAGACAAATCTCTGCTTCCTCCTGGAATAAACCATGATTCACTAGTCATCCAACCCATAGTTCTGTTATTATACTGACTGAGCAATCATGGCACCTTTAAGCAATATATTATAGAAATATATCATGCAAAAAAAAAACGGATCCACTCTCTAGTACTAACAGAAATAATAACACATTCATAACTCACACATTATTACATAATAAGATTACATTCTCAGTGCCTTAAAACACTGTTACTAGTATTTTATGTACATGTCATATATTTATATCCAGTAATGTCACCATTGATGTAAAGAAGTTTCTTGAGACTTCACATGTAATTGCATATAGATTCTATATCTTTATAATATGACAATTTGTTAAAGCAGGAAACAAACTTACAAATAATGCTAGTGCTTCCTGTTCTTCAACGGATAATCTGTCCACATCATGTGCATAGTTCATAAGCACATGTTCTCTCCTGTCCTGGTGTAATAACAATATCACATCATCCTTGAGAGCAGCTGCAGCCAACACATTCAAAATGTGCACCCTGATTTCTGGCCTCAGGGATTTGTCATGTAGCAATCGTCCTGAAAAAAAGCAATGGTTTTTATGTTGACCCTTATATACGTGTATATAAAGGGTGTCCCAGGAGGATTGGATTTATGGTCATTTCTATTACAATTACAATCAATTATAACAGTTCACAATTAATGACTAAGGCTCATTCCATTCCTTACTGGACTACAGGTGTCTTCTCTTCCACTGTGACGAACGATGAAAGCAGAATCACCTGCGATTGAACTGAACTGACTCTTTTATAACTACAGGTGAGCTGAATACAGACCACCACCTTGAACAGTTCATCTGTTATTATCTGTTTCCTTTGTTGCTACAAAACATATGTCATTCTTGTAGCAACGTTTTAATTTCTACAAGTGTGTCTGTTGCTAAGAAGTGCGTTTTTAGTGAGCCGCTGTCTAGCAATGAACTACAGAGCGTTCAATCATCGAGGAAACCTGGAAGCAGCATGGGTCGGATACAACATTTCTCATAGATTGCTGCTGTAACTGCCGATAGGGGAATGAGTCATTAGCACTCATAAATGCGCGCACTCTCGCTAGCGTAGAGCGGGCAGATCATTTCTCCGCAACTACTGTTCCCTTCCCTGCTAGCGAGAGTGCAGTTATGTCACTGATTTCTTCACATCAGTTTCTATATATGCACACATTTATGAGAATACTGTAAAAAGATAACACAAACTTACCATGCTTTATGCCAGGAGTAATTGTGATTTCCTTAGGTCACATGTTATAGGTCATAATGATGCCATCCTCTATGAAGTTGGCCGAACTATGGCTGTTTCTTTGGTGGGGACGCATCATGGATTAGGGATGTGTCGGGACACAGCCTTGGGACACCTCCTCATGGTCCCACTGGGCAACGACAGTCTTGGGGTCTGGATTAGTATGACCAACCAGGACTGGCGGCTAAGTTCAACCTCTTTTGACACAATAAAACAGGCTTCTGAAAGGCATGGCATTGAGCCTGCAATATGCAGATGTATCTGTGCTATGCTGGAAAGCAGAAATCTAAGTGCTACATTGTCTGCAAAGACCCTGAGAGCATCTGCGGCGAGAGCTTGTCCGCAGGAAGGTGTTCTCCTCTTTCTGCTGTGGAGCCTGGTCATGAATGATCTTTGGGAGCTCAACAGTAAAGGTAATTTCACAGTAGGATATGCTGATGATATAGCAATCCTAATAAATGGGAAATTCCCTTACACTGTGTCAGAGGTCTTACAAACAGCCCTGCACACAGTTCAACAGTGGTGCAAAAAAACAAACTTTTCTATCAATCCGAACAAGATGGTAATTATACCCTTTACTAGGAGGAGGGATATCAAGGGGCATAAGGAATCAATCCTCTTCAGTCAAGCGATCCAGCTATCCAGTGAAGTCAAGTACCTTGGAATAACATTAGACAAGGGACTGACATGGAAAAAACAGCTCGACAAGGCTATTAACAAGGCCTATAAGGACTGCTGGACATGCAGAGGCACATTTGGAAAAACCTGGGGACTGAAACCAAAGGTGGTGTATTGGATATACACTGCTGTAGTAAGACCCATAATTACCTATGCTGCCACTATATGGTGGCCTGGAGTTAAACTCAAAACAAGTCAGGCAGAACTAGGCAAATTGAAAAGGACAGCCTGCTTGGGAATTGTGGGAGCAATGAGAACAGCTCCAACAGCTGCAATGAAAATCCTACTAGGACTCCCCCAACTGCATCTGCAGATGGAATCAGAGGCCAAGTTAGGAAATTACAGATTATGTTGCAATCATCAATGGAGACCAAAATCTGAAGGTTGTGGACATGCATACATGATTCAGGTCATAAGAAAAGAACCCATCCTACAGATAGGGTCTGATAAAATGATACTTACACGTTTATGATACACCCTTCACGATCTGATTTCCTGATAGAAGTGAATGGAAAAGGGGGGTTTCAACCCGATCAAAATGGGGGACTAATCTGGTACACAGCTGGTTCCAAGACAAACAAAGGCACTGGAGCTGAGGTGTATTGCCATAGAACAAGGCAGAAACTTAGTTTCAGCCTTAGTCAGTATACAACAGTATGCCAGGCAGAAGTGTATGCCATTAAGGCATGTACAATTGAGAATTTAGATAGAAACTACAAAAATAGGAATATCTATATTCTATCAGATAGTCAAGCTGCAATCAATGAACTTGGTACACACCAAATCACTTCAACACTGGTTTGGGATTTCCACCAATCCCTCACACAACTGGCCAGACATAAAAAGAGTTCAGCTGATATGGGTGCCAGGCCATAAGGGTATTGCAGGGAATGAAACCGCAGATCAGCTGGCAAGAACAGGATCTGAACAGCCATTCATGGGACCTGAACCAGCTTGCGGAATCTCAATTTGAGTTGCCAAGAAAGTGATCAGGGACTGCACTAACAGAAATCACAAAAAACACTGGGAATCCACAATTGGACTCAAACAGGCAAAAGGATTTATATCAGGACCCTCTGCCAAGAGAACGATGGACCTGTTAAAACGAAACAGAGATCAACTAAGATGGATGGTAGGATTACTTACTGGACACTGCCATCTAAAAGGGCACCTCTTCGAACTGGGACTGACAGATGACCCAACTTGTGAAAGGTGCCTACAAGAAGATGAATCAACCACACACATCTTATGTGATTGTGAGGCTACAGCTTACCAAAGATATCGCCACCTGGGTCAATTCTTCATGGAACCAAGTGACTTTTATGATGCCCCCATAAATAAAGTCCTACATTTCATTCGAAGTGTAGGATTAATAAAGGGTTAATCCAAAGGGGAAGCACAACAGATCATTAAAGGTCGCAGTGTGAGGGTCAGTTTTTATGGCTCACCCTCCATACTCATAGTCATACTCATACTCATTCAAAACCTTGGATACACACGACTTTGTGGGAACTGGCAAGTTAGGATATTTACTACGAAACTTATGGATACATTTTCTGTAAATTTTTTTCCTTGCAAAAGTTTTGACAATAAACACACGTTCTTCAATAGTGAACTTCATTTCAGTATAAATGTTGACCGCCTATTGACACCTCTAACACAGACTGACTATTAATGTGACTTACTGCAGTGACAAGATCAGACCAACTGAAGGCGCGCATTCATCAGCGCAAATGGCTCATTCTGCTGTCGGCAGTTACAGCAGCAATCTGTGAGAAATGTTGTTCCTGCTTCACGGTGTTGCTGGTTTCCTGGAGCACTGAACACATTGTATTATGTCACAATATATAACATTTCATTGCAGATTACCATACAAGCAAGTGGAAATAACTTTTTGCTATTATTTATATATAAATTATTTTAGAGCATTTTAGTGGCATACTCACATTATTACTTACAGCATTTACTTCTTGGCATAATTAATCTTCAGTGTGCGCAATGAGTTGAAGTTTTGCATTCACTTACAACCTCTTCTCTCCCTCTTTATTTTCTAATGGCATATTGCAATAAAAAATTTGAAAGGAATAGGGATAAAGCACCTCCTTCTTTTGATTCATTTGTCAATCCTATACAAAAAATAATTATCTACACAAATATTACTACAGATTTCATTCAAACATAAACTCCTTGGAGTAAAATCCTTTCTGAGAAGCCAATAATCACTCATATACTAAAAAATTGTCCACTTTTTATGTAACTGAAGGTTTGGTACCTTGTTCACAAGGAAACTGCCACTGTATTGTGTTCTGAGCCAGATGAATCTAGTCTGCATCCCTGCACCTTATTTCTTCATGATCCATTTTAACATCATCCTCACCTTTACACCTAGGACTCCTAATTTGTCTCTTCCCCTTAAATATTCTTGCTAAAATTTTATAAGCATTTCTCTTTCCCATGTACTCGTATATTACTTGCCAATCCATATCATCCTTTTTCATTTTCTCACTTTAATGACAAGTGACAAAGTCTTATTCAAACACATTTTAATTCAACTGAATAATCTTCCGGATATTCTATATTAAATTTGAATATACAACACCCTTCTTCTTATTTGAATTGTAGACTTTTGTGATACCTCTAATAAGTACCAAACAATTTTACAAAAATACTTCGCAGACCTCTTTTAAGACTTTTGTCAGAAAGACCCGTTATCAAGTGTACAGGAAAACTGCTGTCCAAGTATGCAATTATGGTAAGTTTCAGACAGATAGAAGCTGAAATTTCCAAAATAGAGTCCCTCCATAGGATACTAACCAACAAAGTTAAGGAAGCCATCACCAAGCGCCCATGAGCCCTCATCCTCCAGCATATACTGGTGGAGCTCTTCCAAAGACTGCTGTTCTTCAGGACCCAGTATCCCATCCACAAAACCAACCAGAGCATCAAAGTCTGCCTGAACCTAAAGTGAAAATACACCAACACTAGTCAGTAGTAGGACTAGTGAATTTTTAACTTTTGCATGTTCACTAGGAAATGACAATATTATTTTGTAAACACTGCCTCAATAGGCGGCCAACTCTTGAACATGCACGTCAATGATAGGAAGCAAATTATGGAAGATACAAAATAAAATTATGGTACATAATTAAAAAAACACACTATATATCTACCAGGACACAATGGATATTTCAATTTCTTTTGGTGTATCTTTCTTACATTCTTTCATATGTTTGAAACTAATCAACACAGTACTAGTTTATCACATATTACTACAAACTAGGGTGAATTTCCAGAACAGTCAGTATAGATGTATGTAGTTCTCAATGCCAATGTCCATAAAGATCACTATTCTAACTTTTGTTTGATGCCACTTATACATAACGACTCTTTTATTCTTCTATTATCAGTCAAGTTCAGTATAATGGTGCAAAATGCAAACATTATAATGCAGGATATTTGACATACTTTAATGGAAATGAAATTATAGCTCATAAAAGTAAAATAACTGATGAATTCTACTGACTTCTATTGTTGGATTTCCAATGTACTTCATAATTACTTGGCATACTTCGGTACACTGAAATCTGCTGCGTTATATGTGTGTATATATATATATTCAATATTAAATTGTCTATATTTGTATAACTTCAACTAACAAACCTAATTTTTAGGTCTCAGAGTCTCAAAATTCAATGGCACTAAAATATCCTGAGCCATTTTGAACCAACCCACATAACCACAGACTTGAGATCAATTGCACTTTATCAGTTCATTGTCTTCAAAATGTCAGGTACAATGATATGTTTTAACCACATTCAGTGCTATAAAAATGTCACATATTTTACAGATATCTACAGTAATGATCTTAATCGCTATGATTCACGGCAGAACATGTAACTTCAATCTATACAATTCAAATTACATTAATTCTAATTATGAAGCATTTTAGAAAATTCATACAAAAATAGTTAATAAATAATTTCCATTTCTCTGTTGGCAGAAAATGTTACATGTTCATTGCTTAACTTTTAATAGTGGGTTTCTTCCGCTGTACATGACCATTTCCATTTCTTGCCAGTTTGACTCAACAATGAAGACAACAGTAATGGATGGAGACTAAAATGGTTATGGAAAGTCACAAATACAGTATACTTTCTTCCTTGTTAGAGGCAGTGATGGAAAAAACTAATCAAAATTTCAATTGATTTGCCTCTGAAGCTCACTTCGGATCTATAAAAAAATTGCCTTACATTATTATACTATTATTTCATAAACAAATGTACTTACATCCACTGCATCTTTATACACTATTGGAGGTTCTCTATTCTTTTTTCTCTCTTCCCTTTCCTTCTTTTCACGGGCATCTTGTTCTTCTATTTCAGCTGCAACTTCTGCTGGTGACTTCTTGCTGGACTCTTCAGAGCCATTAGTTGTAAGTTCTATAATATTGGCTGCCTCACCATCAGCCATATTGTTTGGATATATTGATGAATTCTTTGAACTGCTGCAGCAACTGTCAGATGTTAGTTCTGCTGCTGAACTACAGCTGTCAGGAGTGAGTTCTGCTGAACTGCTTCCTCCACTCTCACGATCCTTTTCAATTTTCTCTCTCTTCTTCTTTTTCTTGCGTTCCTTCTTGGCAATTTTCTCGTTGATTATGTTGCGACGCTCTTCAAGTGCTACAGAATTCTTTCTACATTACAAGAAAAGTATCACATTATCCAATAAACTTAGCAAAATAATAATGTACATGAAAAACCAGTGCACTTACTCCAGTAAGAAAGCACAGGATGATTACAAAAGAAAAAATGGAAAAGTGTTTGTGCTGCTCCAGAATCATTTCAATTTTTTTTTTAATTTTCTTTTCTTTCTTCATTTTAATATCATTCATGCAGTTTTGTTACACAAATCTTTCAACAGAAGAAGCCAATATTTTTTACATCCAAACCCAAAACTTACTAATGCCCAACAGCCTTCACTGATAAACGGGGATTATGTATTAAAAATAAAAGTTTACGAACTATGCACGATATACCGTATGTCCAATAAGTATCCAACTTTATTTTTTTCCAATGTAAGTAATGGCCAAAGGGGTGGGGAAACTGAGCGTAGTGGTAGATGGGACTTTCAGGCGCACGCGTGATTTTTTGCTGACTCGCAACACTGCCGGATGCGTTTGTGGCTGCCAGATAGAGAAGTGGTGTAACATGTGTTCGTCACATTCTTGTTTCGCTCAAGAGGATGCAACACTTGGAGCAGCGATACTGCATTAAGTTTTGTCAGAAACTTGGGGATACCCAAGCGGAAACAATTTGCAAAATTCAGCAGGCTTTTGGCGATGATGCAATGGGGGTCACTCGAATTAAAGAGTGGTTCAACTGCTTTAAAAATGGCCGTATGTCGGCGGACAGTGAGCAGCGTTCCGGTAGACCATCAATGCTGATGTCATTGAAAAAGTGCGGACACTGATCATGGAGGACTGTTGTTTGGCCATCTGTGAAGTTGCTGATGAGGTTGGGATCAGCAGAGGTTCTGCAAACACAATTTTAACTGAGGATTTGAGTATGCAAAGAGTGGTGGCAAAATTTGTGCCCAAGCTGCATTCGCCGGAGCAGCAACAACTCCGCCTTGAGGTCATGCAGGACATGCTGGAGTGCGCCAACAGGGATCCTGAGTTCCTGAAGACTGTGATAACTGGTGACGAGTCGTTGGTGTACAGATATGACCCAGAAACCAAGGTCCAGGCGTCAAATGGAAGCATCCAACATCCCCGAGGCCCAAATGAGCACGACAGGTTCAGAGCAATGTGAAGGTGATACTGACTGTTTTTTACGATTACCGGTGAGTTGTGCATCATGAGTACGCACCACTAGGCCAGGCTGTCAATAAGGAGTACTACCAAGAAGTCCTCTGCCATCTTCGTGATGCAGTTCGGCGCAAGAGACCAGAGCTGTGGGACACACGCAACTGGCACCTGCATCATGACAATCCCCCAGCTCATTCATTGCACCTGATCCAGGGTTTCCTAGCCAAGCACAGCATTCCGCAGGTTCGCCAGGCTCCCTACTATCCTGACATGGCTCCTTGTGATTTCTGGCTGTTCCTGAGATTGAAGACACCGCTAAAACGCTGTCGTTTTGACAGCCATGAGGAAATCATACAGAACACGACAGCGCAGCTGTATGCCACTCCAAAAGAAGCCTTCCAGAATTGCTTCCAGTAATGGAGGGACTTCTGGGCTAAGTGTGTGGAGTCACAAGGGGCCTACTTTGAAGGTGATTAGGTATTGTAACCACCCAGATACAGAATTTTTTTTTCCCGGCCCAAGGTTGGACACTTTTTGGACAGAGTAGTATGCTGACATGTTTTAAGTGAATTTTAAATTCTCATCCAGTCTATTGAAGAATACTGGATATGTTCTGACGAGACTCAGAATTAGTTATTTCTTATTTGTGAGAAGAAAATTTCTTTTCAGGTACACTCCGGGCAGTCCAGTACAAAACAAAGATAAGAAATAATAAGCAGAATATTGTCTGTGAATAATTTTGTGAAGTTATTCACATCCACGCAAAACTGGATTTGTATAGTCATGTAATAAGAATTGGTTTTCTGAAATAGAAAATATTTTACCAAGTAACCAAAACTCTCACAGAGCTCAATCAAAAAAGTAAGAAAAATATGCAACATGGACAGTATATCATATTATGTTCAGTAATTTCTCACAGATGCTGTTTGACTAAAAAAATTAAGCATCAATATGAAGAACATAATTTTGCTAACCTGACTTCATCAATGGCTGTGTTGAGTTCAACAAAGTCTGGAGATTCTGCTCGCTCTCTAAGTGGCCAGTGAGGTTCATAATCTCTCAAACTGTGATTGGCATTCTGGCCAAATGTTACACCTCTTGCACCTTCGCTTAGACTGTCTATTAGCGGCCTTAATGTCTGTCCAATAGGTCTATAATCACATACAAAAACCACAATTTTAATATAAAATATTCAATTGTCAGTAACTGTGAAACCTATGTACTATCATTCAAATTCTATGTCTAATACAACAAATATAACACAAGACTGATAATGAATAAGCCACTTTGCCAGTTGACAAATAACGGGAATTTACATATCCGGAGAAAAAAAGCAATAACAGTCTATATAAATATACATTTGAAGCAGTATTTTTAAAACTGGATTATTATTCCAACCACAAGACCCTGAGATAATTAAATTTATGACATTCATGAGAAAACATGGGAAGATATACTACAAAAATCAGACAGGTGAGAAAAGGGAATGTACTAGAGTATGACCTTGAATTAGCTAGCTTAGCAATGATGTGCCTATCTTGTGTATGGGTTGTGCAAGGTTTGACTCTCAGTTACATTATTAACAACCCTGAGGATTTTTGTGGTTTCCCTTAGTTTTTCCAGGCAAATGTTGGATAATGTCTTCAACTGATCATAGCAACTAAATAATCTCTGATAAAGTATTATTAAATAACCTATAAAACTACTGGTATGTGTATGTTTTACATGTCAGAAAATGTGAAAGTCACTTGCAGTACATTTTTCACAAGTCAAATAGAACAGCTTTACTAACTTTACTGGGCAAAGATACTTGAGAAGCTCTTTGCCAACTCCACAAATACATTTGCCCATGGTGAGTTGGCATCCACCACAGATGTATTACATTAATTAAATGGCGAATTATGTTCATTACTTCTTGTTTCTATGAATGGTTAGGTGTAAAATTTCTCCAACACATGTCAGAACTCTGTGGTGGCTATGATGTGTAATACTCTACTTAATATCCTGTATCCCAAAGACATGCTCAAAATCAGAAGGACTTGGATGAAATAGGCTGAAGTTTGAACAGCTCCTCAGTGACCCCATTCTTAAATTAACACTGTTGTTTAATTTTCAGAGATAATGAACTGAAATTCCCATGTAAACTTACAATATCAATTTCTAATTGTGGCCCAGAATATAAACATCTACCCAGTGAATTATTTTTATTGGTTAAATCATGCCATTATAAAACAACTTAATTCCAATTATACAGGTTAAAAATTACAAACCAATTTCATCCTTTGTTTGACAGCATCCTAACACATTTTTGGTATGTTCTGCTGGGAAAATCCACTTTGATGACATATTCAGTGAATACTCTTTCATTAATATATTGTAGATGCTAAATTAACAACACTTAAATGTAGTGTAAACAAGGCACATTAATAATCAGGAAAGAAGAGCACAAAATTTTTGTTGTCATTTTGTCACATCATGAAGGAATACCACTACAGCAAGCATGGAGCAAAAATGCATGTATTCTGGGCCCTGCATTACATGGAGATTAGTAGAGAGATTCAATCTCAAGCCTTGTATTTTTCTGTGGAAAAAGGACAATCAGCATTCATAAATTAGGAGGGTGTAAGATTTGTTGTGAATAGGATGGTAAAATTTTAGTATCCTCTCTGGATTTTTAACCCCTCATCTTATAACTTTACTAAGAGATCTATCACGGCTCAGTCATCTCATGTTATCTCATGACTGGTAGCTTCTGTATTGTTTAATTAAATGAATAGGAATATGTTGGATGAGAATAATTTTTATAAACAGCCAAGCGAAATGCAATAAAAGAGTTAACCGTAACAAAGTCTAAGTGCTAACAGCTACTTGGCCACCGAACAATCAGCACTCCTCAGCATTTCAAAGATAAGAAAGACACATTAAAGTGACGAACGAAGAATGCATTCAAAGCAAGAAGCAAGATTTCCAGTGAATCATGCTGCTGTGACTCAAATTTTGTGTAATTTGAGAGATATATGGAAAGCAACTTCTGTCTGTTTTAGGCAACTACTGTAGGAGCAGAGGAGAGCTCACACATGCAGGATACACCATCACATGACTCACTGCCTTGTAAACAATCACATAACTGGTCATCTAGTGTTTGTTCTTGTCTCTATAGAGTGAGTTATGATATGTCCTCTGAGTGATAATTCCACCAGCTGCAAAATTCACACTGTTATCAGCTTTCTTCATACCAAAAACATGAGCTCTGAGGAAATCTATTGTGAATTATGTGCAGCGATTTATGGCCAAAATCTAATGAGTGAAGGAACTGTAAGACAGTGGTGTAGAATGTTCAAAGATGGCGAACAAATGTTCACAATGAAGAGTGAAGTGTTAGGCCATATGAACTTGTTCAAAGTGTTGACCAAAAAATTTGTGAAAGACAGGGTTCAGTTTCAGAGCTTTCGTGGGAATTTCCGCTAATTTTATGCACTTTTCTCTATGAGATTATCACAGGCTAGGCTATCACAAGTTTTGGGCAAGATGAGTTCTGAAAATGCTCACTTGCGCACATAAAGTGCGGAGAATTCCTCTGGCTTTGACTTTTTTGGAGTGATACCACAAAGATGGCGATAAATTTCTCAATCACATTGTACGAGTAATAGGTGATGAAACCTGGATTTCATTTGTGAATGCTGAAACCAAAGAGCAGTAAAAGCAGAGGATGCACATACATTCACCAAACACTGTATGATGATAAGATTTGGATGATTATGTTTCTTAGTCAAAACATGTAGTTCTTACTTACAAATAACATTATAATTTGAGTTAATATTGTCATTATAATAATACTGTTAACTCCTGCATAACATACCACACTTATTACATACTACATACCACTATTGATGCTCCTATATACAAGTAATCAGAGTCAGTACCTTTGACAAAAGAATTCATCCCAAATTCTTTTACTGCCAAAGCTTCATGAACTCACAGCCTATGTAGGATGTCTGTTGAGTTAGTCACTCTATATATAAACACGTGTGTTTATTTGTCTGTTCTTTATACATTTTCAAACTGCTTCACCTATTTCAGCCAAATTTGGTATGGCTGAGAGACTTTGGACATTATAAAACCTGCATGGTTCAAGTCCAAGCAAACATATTTCGCCAGTGCTTCCTCTGTAGAAAAGTCATTAGGGTCGTACAACCAATTGGGGGGAGGGGGGGTGACGGTCATGGGATCCTGACACCAATGCAATTGAGACAACAATGGGGTTGTTGCTAAGATATGGGGAACCCAAACCAACCATTTCAACAATGGGTTTATGAGAGCAATGGGATTCTAGAAGCAATGGGATCTTTGGTAAGAGGTGGGAAAAGCCAAAACAATCTACTTACATTACTAGAATATGAAGGAAAACCAAAGTATTTTCTACTGTTGCTACATTTAGTACAAATTTCTGTTTCTTATATGTGTGGTTCTGATTACAGTGATGAGTGACTGGATTGATAGTTATATTGTTATAGAAGAATGTGTGATAACAAATTATTTGGTATAGTCCAAATGCCAAAGGCAGGGAAGTGATTATGTCTTATATTTTCACTACGGAACCAAATATATGATGATAAGGCTTGAATTAACAATGAATACAGTAGCCTAGTCTTATTCCCTCCTTAATACTTTAGTTTATTACAACAATAAGGAAGGCAACCATGTATTAGGGGAGGAACAAGTCTTTTGCTAGTATTTTAAAATTTACAGTACCAAAATAAAATAAATTAAATTAACACAATGAAGGACTTCTGTTCACATATTTAGAGTAGTATGTCTGACTTTAATTGTGTGAACAGTAAAATTACTTTTGAAACAGTGGAAGAATTTTAGACTGGTTCATTAACTTTATACATTACAGAAAATAGAGTAATGACAATTTGTAAATTATAGTTGATTATGATACTCACGTGTCAAGGATCTCCTCTGGAACATCAAGAATGTACTTGGGAATCCCTTTCCCACAGAGAAACTGACTCACTTCATTTGTGAAATTGTTGCAGTTATGTTTGAACAGGTCATATGACCTTGGGCTGAAAAATGTCATTAATATTATTGCATTCCAATAATATGTATACCTTTCTTCAGACTAATGACACTAAGACCTAGTGGTTACACGAATGCCAAATCAAACAACATAGATTACCATGAAGTACAGTCATGAAAATTCTCCATGATAAGATATGAAACCAAACTAGAAATGCATAACCTACACAATACAGAGTTTTCATATGCTTCTGGGCTGTTGAGTAAACAAATAAATAACAAAGTGAATTATTATTAGCAGCAGCTGCGTTATTAGCAACATTTATTTATTTATTTTCTTCTTGGGAGAAATTTCAAATTTGTTGCACATACCATCAAAGATTTGGACTGTCGTAAAGTTCTCAATTGTTGACTCAGAAGCAGTATTTAATACAAAATTTGAATATATGTGTTCAATCTAACTTTATATTAAATTTCATATACCTAACACCAGCAGGACATTAGTTCACTTAATCGAACCTAAAGCTAAATACAGATTTCATGCAGATGCCATTTTGTCTTATATTATAAAAAAATAACTAAAGTTGTTTTTTTTTTAAGTCCTTTTACCACATAAAACTAGTGCTAGTATTACTCTCACTTCACAAATTTATGTGTCCATCATGTTGGAATTATTAATTGCAGGAAATTAAAAAGTATCAGTTTTGCGTAGGCTACAATGCCGTAATGTCAATACCAAATTTAATCAAAATCCATCTAGTGGTTACAGAGTTGAAACAAGCAGACAGATGGACAGATGTGACCAGCACTACATGCGTTAATTTCATGCATACGATAAGTGGAAATCCTATTTATACAAGTCACCTGAAAAACTCTACCTTTTCCCTTAACAGACCATGAACTCTGAACTTGCACTTGCCTAAAATCTAAACACGAACTTGTTATGTGAACATTTCATTATTACCTAAAAGTAGTTTCTCCTAGTCCCAACACATACTCCAAGAATACTTGATATGGGATGAATGTTTCTCCAAGATTAATCACTTTGGTAGCCTCACCCAAAATAGTGCCACCCTGTGAACAAAATTATCATTATGTAAAATGTGATAGTATCTTCCGTTGTCATAGAGAATGCAAAATTTTGAGGAAATCTTTCTTCTGTATCAGACCCAATGACTGTTTATGTTGCCTAACAATGTTGAGCCCATAAATACATTTTTGCTGTACTGACACCACTACATACTTTAAGGTATGTTGGTCAGGTAAAGGTAAAAGTTGCTCCTCGTTTAATTAAGCACTATGCCATGAAAGGTATGAAGAATGGGGTTTAGCTCCACTAGATTGAGTTGTTTTATGCCCTGGCTGTTTTGCCACTAAGGAAAAGAGCCCCCAGTTGTTGATGCAGAAGGGAGCCCATCCCATTCATAGCCTAGTCACTATATGGACTCACATATCCTGGCTCCAACATAAACAAATACCATGCTTACTGTTTCTATGGTAAATCCTCATTATAATGGACCCACATATAATTGATTTTGGATATAATGAACAAAATCTGGTTGTGTACAATTGTGAATTCTTAGACATACTGAGGCACTAAGAAGGTTTCACAGTTATAAAACTATTTAAAATAAAGACCGCTAATATGAAAACCTTCATGTAATCACACTGTGTTGCTGTTTACTGCATGTAATGTTAGGTAAGGTTACCAATTAAGGACCACACCATGAAGGCATATGGGGGGAGTGGATGTATAGATCTACATTTTCTTGACATCAACAATTGCTGGAGAGGAGTGGTTAGCTTCACGCCCCCGGCCACTTTACCCAGGGGAAGTAGCCCAGGGTACTTACTGGATGGGAGGCTGGGTGGGCCCCAGAACTGGTCTGGATGATGTGGAGAAGAGGAAATTCTTGACCCTACCAGAAGTCAAACTCTAGCCCTTTTATCGTCCAGGCCATAGCCAGTCACTATACTGACAATGCTTTCCCAGCACACATTGGCTCTATAACGTATGGTGTACATCTGTGAATAGCCCTTCACTTGGTTAGAGCTGACACTGGCAATAACAGCCACTCCATCCACCCTATTAATCCATTACAAGAAGGGTTTACTAATGATTGCAATGTATCAAATGTTGTGGTGGTGATTTATATGTGTATACAGTGAATCAGAAGTAAAAAAAGTAAAAAGTAAAGCTATCTCTGTAACAGGCCGTGAAGGCCCATAGGGTTGTGAGACGTTGAGGGTCCCACATTATCTAGACAATAGGATCAAAGATGGCGGTAAGGTTGTGAGAAAAAAAAATGAAAACCTTGTCTGAAACTTGAACCAAATACTTCCAAAATATGAGTCTGACACTACTGTTAAGTAGTAACATGTTAAAGATGCTATATCAAAGTGCCTGAACTTCTGTACTTTTAACATCTAACATTCCAGATGTTGAGAAGTAAGGTAAGGATGATAACCTATGAAATATTAATTTGTGCAGAATTACACAATTAGTGTTTTCAGCCCATGTCCTGTCACAACACAGCACAGTATAAGATGTCTACTTTAGATTAAAAATGCTACTTTTAAAGCAAGAAACTAGTAATTAAGGCATGTTTCTGTCTCAGAAGATAAAGCTTTATTAACACATGTATTTCATCATCTCATCAGCTGATATCCTTTACCAGCATATACTTGTGTGAAATTGGATTCCTGAATTATATACATTATAAAAAAACAGAGAGAAACAAAATAAATGTAGTGCCGGATCAGAGAATTCAACCTTCCACTATGAAGCCAAATGAAGTAATGCGTTGATAACATATCCTTGTGTAACATTTATTTATAATTATAGTTTTCTTGCGGACTAATACCACGGAGTTTGTTTTGTAGCATACAGACCCGTTGCTAGGCAATGATCGTGAAATAAGCGACTATATAACAGCCCTTGCTAAGTAACGGCTCCGGAAACAAACATGTTTCCAAGGCAACAATTGTACTACAATAGAGGAACGGTGTTTTATATGCGGTCCATTCTGAGACGTTATAAGCAGTTGGTGAGTTAGATGACCACTGGGGTTCACTTGTGAGCGGTTTCTGTGAGACACTGGCAGCTGAGGCTGGGGATATTTCGGGAACCCATCGTTGCACACTTTCCGAAACTTCAAATGATCATGCATTATACTGTATGTTAAAACATGGGAACATCTTAGTGCAGTTTCTACACTGTTTATTGTTATCCTCCTGTCAGCTCTAATGAACTCTTCCACCAGCTGCACAATTGCAATCTCAACAGGGCGACCTGGTCGGGCATCACCTGTGACTTTCGAACGTCGAGAGAATTTTTCGACCCAGTTGTGAACCGCTTTACGCGAGAAACACTTCCCACCCTAAACAAGAAAATTTATTGATGAATATCCTTCACATTGAATCCTTTAGCCTACAAAAACCGCACAACAGAACCATGCTCTTCGGTAACACATTCCTGAAGCATGGTCGCCATTTTGACTATTGAAACCAGCCTCAGAACATGAGCACAGGCGTCTGCTACCTAGACGGTCATGACTGGACTGTGATGATTCCTAGTGATACTCGTATGCATAGAAACCTTGTTATGTCCATTACAGCTGTTTTACTTTCATTTGTGACCTACTTATTGACTATCCCCAGTATCAGTGGTCTAGTTTTTACCTTCATATATAAGATTTTCTAGGGGTTGTATAAGATTTTTCAAGTGCTTTATGTAAATTCTGTTGTAATTCTGAGGGAAAAATGGAATTGTTTCATAATTTTTCATAATACACATTTTGTTAACAACAGCACTGAAGGCACCATGATACGTAAACCCTAACTGCAGACAGCTGTCATCATATTTAAGTTTATTTTATAATTTGTCTTTCATACTTGTGTCACTGACCGTGATGTTTTTATTTTAAACTTCCCGGTTTGGGCCAGCATTCCATTACAAGAAAATATAAAAAAAGTTGCACATTCAACGATAGGGGCACAGGTGGTAGTGTAGTTGGTTGAGGCACTATGTTACAGGCCGTAAGGTCGTAGGTTCGATTCCCGACGAGGTCAGTGAATTTTTCAATTTACCTAATCCTTACAGCCGCAATATGGCCCTGGGGTCCACTCACCCTCTAACAGGAATGAGTACCAGGAAAGATTCCTGGTG